TCCCCTTCGCTCTGTTACTGCTTCGCTAAATTCGGGGAACTTGAGCAGTAATTACAAAGCCTTATTCGAAGTTACTGCTGTGGGGGAACTTCTAATATAGCCCTTGAATTATGGGGTTTATGCTGCTTGTGTTGTACCCTTGAATTCTTGTGCTCCCTTATGGTCCAATATTTTATCATGGTCTCGGTGGCCTCACGGTTCTCTCTGGACTCTAAATTCTGGGGAGCTTTCCTTTTTTCTAGATATAATGGCTTCGAGAGATCTTGAAGTTAACTTGTCTCCTTCCCCCCTCCCCCCAACGTTTAGGATGGAGTAGGTGCTAAAATAGCTGAGAAGATAGATGAGTTCTTATCCACTGGAAAACTGCGCAAATTGGAAAAGGTGGGTTTCTTTCCCTGGTGCTCTTTTTCTCAGTAGTTGCTTTTCTTTGTAGCTTGCAAAGTAGCCTGCTTGCTTCATGCAATTTCTGTTGTCCGTGGAGAGACTGATGTCAAGCTTAAGAATGGCGGACATGGAGTCTATGGCGAGTAGAAAGCAGGGAACGAGAAGCTCAGCCTCAAAACTGTCTATTTGTGAAAATATTTTAGGTTATATAATTGGCATGTGAATGTCTTCTGTGAGAAGTGGAATTCTGACTCTGGAAGGCTGTGGAGTTTTGTGGTTTAACCATGCTGTTCACCTCAGCATGGGTAGTTAGGCAGTTTTCATGCTTGGTACACGTGGCGTTATTGTGATACGCAGTACTACCCTTGGTACTGTTCTGCATTGATTTATAGTGAGCCTCCAAAGCAGAGTCTAAGCTGTTTTATTTTACCAAGATTTCTTTGTTTATTGCAAATGGAGTAAAGAAGGCTTTGGTTTGTGTTGTTTTGTTTTTGCAGATTCGACAAGATGATACAAGTGCATCCATCAATCTCCTGACACGAGTTACTGGCATTGGGTAAAGTTTTTTTGTTTGTTTTTTGGTTTTGTTTTTTTTCCTTCTCCTGTTTATTTGGTGGAGTTATGAACAGAGTTTGGGTGACTGCAAATAATGAAGAGAATGAGTCTGAGCTGATGCTGCAGTGCCCATTCTGGGACTCCATAGTGGTGATGACACAGTTGGATCATCAGTTACAGACTTTACGGTAGAGGAGTGGAGGTGGGAAGCTTCTGTGTGCAAGCTGAGAGAGGAAGGAGAGAGGAGCTGGCCAAGAACGGAACCATGAAAGACCTAGAAGAGTGGAAGTGAGGGGTCCCTTTGGGACTTTTGGTGGGAAGTTTGGCTCAGGGACAATGGTGCTGTGTCATATGGTTGTAAAAGGAGAAGTAGAGTCCTGAAATGGGCAACAAAACAAAAAAAAAAAAAAAAACCCAAAACCCACATCAGGGTTCTTGTGCAACATTTGAAACCCTTGAGGTTGAGGGTAGGGAACGCGATAGTTCTCAAGTAATCCTGAGGGGAAAGTGTGCTCAAAGTTTGAGAGTATACTGGGATTTGAGAATGCCTTTGAGAAATTGGGATGGGATGCAGAAGGAGAAGCTTGGGTGCTGTCCTGTGTCAGGACAGTGGAAGTTGCCTGTCTTGGTCTGGAATCTGGCAAGTGATGCAGAGAAGGATAAGAAAGGAAGTAAATGGCAGGTCAAGATCTGACAAGTCTGTTGTAATGTAAGAGTTTTATTGAGGAAGTGGATTCAAAGTCTTCAAGGGTGGCGGAGCTGTAACCATGGGATTCCAGAGCAGTTGGAGAGTAGTTCTCCAGGAAGGGACTATGCTTCCAGGCTGGTGGTTCTCAGTGTTTTGAGATGTTGGATAGGTATCTGGGTATAACACTACTTGAATGCCTGTCTCACAGTTGAAACATTCTTTCCCCGCAGAGCCACATAGATTGATCTGCTGACAAACCCTTAAAGGGGAAAAAGGTTCAGCCGTTCACTTCACTTAAGTGTTGTGCTTAAGACAAACTCTCCAGCCAAACTGGAGCTGGAACTGCTTTGCTGTACTGTTGGTTGCAAACTGGAGCCTTGTTGGGTTGTTTAAAGTGCTAGTCTAAAGACACCTTTGTGTTGCTGTTGCCTTAAGCTGGTTCAGAGACTGATTGTGATTGAAGTAGTTCTTATAACGCATGCAGTGTTGTTGTCTAAAGCAATATTGCCTGTTTGGTGAGAATTTGTTTATTTTTTACAATTATACATTGCTATGTAGCTACATGAGTGCTAAAAAATGAGCAGGCCAAGACTTGGGTAGCCATCTCTGCTGACAGAAAGTACTAACTGAAAATGCGTATGCTGAAAAGAGGGTAAGCATCAGAAGCAACTTCAGCCTTGGCCTTGAAGAACCTAGGAAGTTACAGTGAATTCTAATGTCCCTTTCAGGGGACAGGTTCTAAGATTCTTGCTGTTCCTAATGGCAGATTGCCTTGTTTCTTTGCAGTCCTGCTGCTGCTAGGAAGTTTGTTGAGGAAGGAATTAAGACTTTAGAAGGTAAGTGCAACTTTGGGTCCTCAGTTTACATTCCAGTAACGTTTCTTTCTGTCAAGCTGCCTGTTCCACAGTGGTACTGTGATAGCAGATATGCCCTAGGCTTTGAGGAAAATGTGTAAGATGTAAGTTAGTGCACAGGCTAAAGGCATTACGTACATACCCAAAATAAAGTACTTACAGATTACAAGGAAAATAACAAGGATTTTGGTTTTGAGGTGAATGGTCTATTGAAGTCTTTATTGGGAAGTACTCTACACATCCTATCAGCTGTTGAGTAGGCAGTTTAAAATGTCTTCCTTTGCGTTTGAGGTTGCTGCTACGTATTCTTTGTGTGCATCATCTTTGCACTGGTGGAAACTTACTGTAAGATTTTTAGTCCTCAAGTAACTTTTTTGGTTTCGTTTTTCTTAATTCTAGATCTAAGAAAAAATGAGCACAAGCTGACCCATCACCAACGAATTGGGTTGAAGTAAGCTTTCTTGGGTGCAAGTGCTTGGCTTTTCTAATGACTCCTTCAGACACCAAGATGTAACGTAAGGTTACGCAGGCCAAGTAAGGTTCTGTTCTCTCTGTGTGCTCTACATGCTTTTCAGCAGCTATTCAGAACTTTTGTTTCAGTGGGGTTGGAATTCAGTAGGCTTAGTCTCCATCCAGAAGGAAATTAATTTCAAATTACTTTTTCAGTTAGCTTATGGAGAATAACTTTAGCAAGGCTGCAATGATGTTTCTTGGGAATCTGCATAAAAGTGGCCCAGGCTATTTTTTGTTATGTGCTGTGAGCAAGGTAAGACCTTTGCACGTCTGAACTTGAGAATGCCATGCAGAATTCAAGGGGAAACCTTTCACTGTTAAGTGAGTGTAAGAAAACTCACCTGACCTATCCATGTTGCTAGTGCATGCATTGGCCTTGGGTCTACTGCCAGCATTGTGCTGAGATGTTGTTTCAGAATGTGCCTGCTGGTCAGGTGCGTCCTTGTTTCACCTGGCCTTTCTTTCTCCACAGTCAAGCAGCATGCTGGCAATCTGTTTTTTACAGCTGCATGCAAAGATATCAGGAGCTGTATTTGACTTGTGAGCTTCCATTTACCTCTTTCCAATATAGATCACCTCTGACCATGGGCGAGGGACCTGTTCCTCCTGCTTGCTGGTGGACTGAGTTTTGTCAGGAACCTTTTGTATTTTCAGAAGGCTATGTAAATATAAACCAATTGGTTGTACAGTAATACTACTCCCACCTCATAGCAGCTTTTCATACACAGTGGAAATAATATGCCAGGAAACCATCTTCTAAGGATTGTCAAACTTGCAGTTGTTTTTATGATCCCTTGGCAAGATGCTTTCTAAGGTGTTTGGTGAGAACGGGGAGCTTTCTGTGATGTGACAGTAATGTAAGTTGTATTCTTTCCTCTGGTACACATTTAATTGACTACCCTTGCCACTCTTTCAGACACTTTTATTTTTATATATGCAGATATTTTGAAGATTTTGAGAAAAGAATCCCAAGGGAAGAAATGCTGCAAATGCAGGTAAGAATGTCATTATTGAGGATGTGAGGCACCGATGGCCAATGAACAACTGACACATCTAAACACGCATCTTCCTTTTTACATAGGAAATTGTGCTGAAAGAGGTAAAGAAGCTGGATCCGAACTATATTGCTACAGTCTGTGGCAGTTTTAGACGAGGTTGGTGCTCCGTGATCTTTCATGATAATGATAAGAAATGATACATTTCTTTTGGGCTGATAAGCAAGACTCATTACTATGTACGTTGTTCTTCTAGAGAGAAAGTCTATGCTGGAACCTGGCTTTTTCCTGTTAGTCTTGTTTTGACTGGTTCACTCAGTGACAAAACACCCACATAAATCCTTGCTTCTCCACCCCGCCCCCATAAAGAGTAGTATCTTGGAACATGTGAATTGTTTGCTTGCTTTTACGTTAATGATATTTGTGTTTCATTGCTGTAGAGTACAGCAAGAAAATCTTGGGTATTTTCTGAGATATGCAGGGATATAAACTTTTTGATGGGAGAACAAGATTATCTTACTTTAAGATAATTTTTTTCACAAATATCTTGAATAGTGATTATTTTCTACCAAAAAAACATGTTTATAGGAAGAGGTTAGATGGATGTTCACTGATGTTAGTATACTTTGTCATACAGAGAGGGATTTTTCTTTGCTTCTTACTTGCCTAGGTGCAGAGTCAAGTGGCGATATGGATGTTCTCCTAACCCATCCAAGTTTTACATCTGAATCATCCAAACAGGTGTGTTTCTCTGCTGCTGTGGATCAGTACTGTGCCTTATTTCCACAAGGGCGTGTCTAAATTCCAAAGATGTAGTCCAGACTTGTATTGCAGCTTCTTGCATCTTTTTGTTACTGTAATAGTAAACTCTTCTCTTGGATCACCATGTTTTTTTTGAGGAGTTAGAATCACTTCTCAGGTCCATGTATTATGTTGTGTTCCTCTTGCAAAACTATTCAGTGTATTGACTCTTATCCTTCTGTCCCTCCTCTTCCCTTCGCACGCATTTCCCCCACCCTCTCGAATTCATGTGCTTTTACAACATAGAACTGCAGCAGCTAGCTGGATAAAGCAGGGATTAGAGGTAGAGCAAGTATCTCTTTATGTAGCTGTAGTCTTTTGGATGAGAAGCAAATGTCCTGCTGCCCTTGTAATCTTTTGTGACTAACTCTGGAGAAGTCTTAATGATAGTTTGTATTTCTTATGCTGCTTCTATAGATTTATTGCTTAGAAGTTGAAAACTCAAACCGAGGAATTAGTTTTGTCACTTCCAATGAAAGCAATCTGACATAGGGATTTCGGTGGAAAATTTTTTTACATTGCACAACTGTAATTTTACTAGCTTTTTTACAGTATTACTGTTATCTTATTTTCTCCCTCTGGGTCAAATTTCACATACAATAATACATATAATTCTAGTGATGTCCACTGTCTGGTAAATGGGTAAGATATTCTTGTTATTTGTGAAATAATTTCTTCTTCTGTGTTGTCACTGTTCCTAGTCAAAACTTCTGCGTCAAGTTGTAGAACAGCTGGAAAAAGTCCACTTTGTCACAGATATGCTGTCTAAAGGTGACACCAAATTCATGGTAAGGCTTTTTTGGTGGTGAGCCTGACAGGAACCAGGATATATACACAATATGTTGTTTGGACTGCTGGAGTTGTGATTATTTTTTTTTTAAATTTTATTTTTTCTTAAGTCCCTCTTTCTCTCCATAAAAACTGTCTGCAGTTAAGTCTTAGTGAATCTCTCGTGGTAAGATTTCAGTATTAGAATCTACAGGTATTTATGTAGCTTTGAACCCCGCTGTCATAACCTTCATCACACAATGCTAATTCTGTCTCTCTTTTGCTTGATGTTTCTCCAGAACCTTAGCACAACCTCACTTCTTCAGCTGCACCAGCGACCACTTTTGTAACTCTGTCCTCAAACTCTTGGAAACACTAGCTTTGATCTTGGGCCTGTGTTTACCTTGTTTTGTCTAATACACAATACACTTTTATCTCCTCTTTTGACAATTTTGTTGCAGAGCAGATTTAACGGATAAGCTGCTAGACTCAGGATATAAAAGGGAACATGTGGGATGCCTAAAGAAAGTAATGAATTTCAGGAACATTCATTTTGTTAGGACCCTTGCTCACAGCAAATTTCTTTTTTTTTTTTTTTTTTCCTTAAACATGTGGATTGGGTGTTATCTTGCTTCACCTAATTTTCTTTGCAGGCCCAGGGTATCCTCGTCTTACAGGCTGGTTAAAAGTTAATTCTAACAGAGAAGTGTAGAACCAGAAGCAATACTGAGTGGAAGTGAGGACTGGCTAGTTCCTGTCAGTCAGTCATACTGGCTTTATGGAATTCCTTGGAAGCTCAGGGGAGTTGTCCTGCAGGAGGGTTCACCAAAGGTCCATGACTTACGGATTTCTATTCAAGAATCAAGATACTATTATATTCAGCTAATCCTTTGGAAGGCATAAATATTAAAAATATATAATATTGCAGTTAAAGCTACTTGCTTTCCCAAAATGAAAGGGGCTGCTGGAGCACTTGATTGTTTTTTTGTTTGTTGTTTTGGTTTTGCTTAAAATTACAGTTAAAAGAACTCTGAGAATTTGTCTTCAGTTTAGTTTGTGTTGCATTCTGAGAGGGAATGAAGCTTGATGGCTTTTTTTTGGCTTGATCTTTAGGAGGAATAAGTGAAAGTCACTCTTACTGTTGCCAAATGGTTGAAGTGTGAATACCGTATGGGTTTAAAGCTAAATGTACATCTGTGAGCCACTCTGTGTTCCCAGTTTGCATTCACAGTTCAACAAGCTCATTGTAGTTTGACCATTTGCTCTGTATAATCCTGTCAGTCTTCAGTAGTTGTGGAACAGCTCTTGTGTTCAAGGTGGAAGCTAAGAAAGGAATGTTGTAAAAAGGGAAATATGACTGCTGCTGAGAATCTGAGAAAAGCAAGTCTCAGTAAGGAGACAGACAACTTTAAAAGCATAAGCAATGTTAAGCTTTCAAAACAAAGCTAAGAATAGGAGAAGTCTCAGCATGAAGCTGCAATTGGTGAAACGGTTTAGTATGTAAACATTTCTCATCATTCCTTATGGTTCATGTCCCTCCCCTACTACTGCATTGTCATTTAAGGTGATCGTAGACTAGGGAAAAAAAGAAAAGGTGAATTGCATGAGGATTACAAAGCAGTTTGAAGTGAAAAGTTGTCCTGGTTTCGGCTGGGATAGAGTTAATTTTCTTCACAGTAGCTAGCATAGTGCTGTGTTTTGGATTTAGTACCAGAAGAATGTTGATAACACACTGATGTTTTCAGCTGTTGCCAAGTAGTGCTCAGACTACTCAAGGACTTTTTGAGCTTCTCCTGCTCGGCCAGGTGCATAACAAGCTGGGAGGGAGCACAGCTAGCACAGCTAACCCAAACTGACCAAAGGGCTATTCCATACCATATAACGTCATGCTCGGGGGGGTTAGTTCGTTCGTTCGGTCGCTCGCGGCTCGGGGACTGCTTGCGGCTCGGGACGGGCTGGGCATCGGTCGGCGGGTGGTGAGCAATTGCATTGTGCATCATTCGTTTTGTATATTCTGTATATTCTGTTATCATTCTCATTATTACTATTATTATTATTTTCTCTTATTAAACTGTCTTTATCTCAGCCCTCAGCTCTAACCTTTTATTTTCTTTCCGATTCTCTCCCCCATCCCATTGAGGGAGGGGGGGGAGTGAGCGAGCGGCTGCGTGGTGCTGAGTTGCCAGCCGGGTTAAACCACGACAAAAGTGGCAGAGGATTTCTCAAGAAAGAACTTTTTTTTTTTTTTTCTTATTCCTATTAGTTTGAGCTTCGTCTGCATTTTCCTTAACCTGCTGATGTTTGTGCACACTGAAGAGCCTGATAATAATTAGGGAAGAGGAATGGGTAATGAGAAGTCCTGTGATCCTTCCTGCTGTAATAAAACTCAAGCAGCAGTTACATGCTACATTGAACTATGGTCCTCTTAGCAGTGTAAAATGGTGATTCACGGTACTATGACATCCAGCTGTTGTAGTAAAATATTTAATTGGTTCAGCGGGAATTTAACTTTGCTCTCCAGGATTACTGAGGATTGTTTAGAGGTTGTTTAGGGGTGGAGAGGTGAAGATTGGTCTTGAATCTGGTTAATTTAATTTTTAATTTCTCGCTTTCCTTTCTTCCTCACAGGGTGTCTGTCAGCTACCAAATAAAGAAGATGGAACAGCCTATCCACATAGGAGAATTGATATCCGGTACACACACCAAAAAAAAATCCCCAAACCCCCTACTTTAGCTGTCTGCTACATAGTAGGCATTTGCATCAAGTTCTGCCTTCAAATCTCTACTTCCACATTCAGAACATGGCATTTAGGTTTCTAATTCCTTTGCAGTATGGAAGCCACTGCACAACTGCCAGTATCTACAACAGGTTATTAGCAAGAATGCTGTATTTTAAATCATGACTTTGTATCCATTTTCAGAATTGTGACCTACTTTATCGTGCTGCTTTGACATTAATTCTTGGCAGGAGTGCCAGCACCATAACCATGTAGTGGCTGACCACCAGTAACTTCTGGGTCAGGGTAGATGTGCTGAACCTTTCTTTGATATGCAATTCGTTTCATTCTTGCATCTGGCCTGTGGGAAAATCAAATGTACAGAGTTGCAGAATGTGTGCATGTAAATAGGAAGTAAACCTAGAACAGTGTCTGAATTGCTGAATTCCAAATGGCTTGTAACTTTTTTTTGTTATATATTTGTTCTAAGTTTGTACTTTTCTTCCACTTTTATTCTAGGTTTATCCCCAAAGATCAGTATTATTGTGGTGTACTGTATTTCACAGGAAGTGATATATTCAATAAGAACATGAGAACTCATGCTCTGGAAATGGGCTTCACTATCAACGAGTACACAATCCGCCCCTTGGGTGTCACTGGTTAGTCTGGGCCTTTACAGAGAGTATTCTTTCTGGTTACATGCTTTGTGTGATCTTAAAGTGGTTTCTCAGTGTACTGGAAGTACTTCTGATAAATACTGTAGCTCATGAATTATTTCACAGTGTCCTTTCTGGTACTGGACACGATTACAGCAGGAAGAGGCAGCGTACTTATATACTTTAGGCAGCACTGTGGCACAAAGTTACCTCTTTGGGCCACCTAATCTACTTAAAGTCTTACTGACCTAAAGATTGTTTCAGTGTCATGCATGGCACGTATGTAGTTTCCCACTCTTTTAACAAGGTATGTTTTGTTTTGGAGGGGGCTGACTATATATATATATATATATATATACACACACACACACACACACACACAAATACATTTTTTTTTTTTAATATATGTATATACACATGAATATATTTGACTGCATAACTACACGGCCCCAAAGTTAATTCATTACCTTATTTCCTTTGACACTAATGAGATCTGTACCTAAACACTGTATGAAAAGGTCTGGTAGGGGGAGGGTGTTTTGGTTTGGTTTTTTAAGTCCGTTTTACAGCAGTTTTGAATCTTGCAATGCATTTTGCATTGCAGGACTGTACGGACCTTCTACCTTTCAAATAGCAATATGAAGTAATTTGAAGTAATTTGCTTGCAGGAGTTGCTGGGGAGGCCCTACCAGTAGAATGTGAAAAAGACATCTTTGACTATATCCAGTGGAAATACCGAGAGCCAAAGGATCGGAGTGAATAACTGCTTGTCTAGGTTTGTAAATTAGAGAGCTGTTTTCATAGCTTCCTACGAATATACAAAGTGCATGTTCTTTCTTTGGATGCTACTGCAAAAAGTGTACATTACTGAGGTTTAAAGCAAGTCCATGGCACTAGCACAGAATGTGTAGTGAAGATTAAATCCTGTAAGATCTCATTTTGATGTCTGTCTCTCTCCCTCCTGCCCCACAAAAGCTGATTAAAACACTTACTGTATTTAACTGAATGGGCTGCAATACTAGAAAAATCTGTGGGGAAGGTGGTGCAGCAGGCAGACCCCTTAAAGAATGCATATTGTATTTTGCTTTGGGATTTAGTTAAAAAAAAAAAAAAATCGGATAAATTACAGGTTTCTATTTAACCCCTAAGGAGCAGAAAGTTCTGACGTAACACATAATGTTTTATCTTATTAAATTTCTTGTGGCTTTGTCTGAAGATGGTGGCTGTCAATCAAAATTAATGCTGGTTCTTTGGAGTCACTGGAAAGTCTTACAAAACAGTATTAGCCTTTTATTAAAAGCTATGTGCTTTGATTTGATAATTAGGTTTTTTCCTAATAATATTAGTAGCCCCTAGGCTGTGATCATTGTTAGAAAAGTCTGCATATTTCAAACTGAACAAGCCTTTTTAGCTTGTTTCTTGTAGTTTTGCAAAAGACGATCAGAGTTCTGATGCTTCCATGTTTTCGTATCATATACACAGACATAGTCTGTGCAAACATCACTAACTGTTTAATATCTAAAAACTGGACAGCTCTTGGAGGAAATAACACAACTTTTTTTGCTATTTACTTTGTTGAGGTTGAAAGACTTGGAAGTAAAACTGTTGCTTTTGTATAGTTGTTGCAGATTGTATCATTAAGTAATATGTATGATTTTTTTTAATTATTTTTTTAATGTGGTTTGAGTAATTATGTCTGTGGAGCATCTTGGAATACTCAAATTAGTATTTTGCTAATACAAGCTGCTGGCATAAATTGCCTGAGTATATAATCTACAGCATCTGTGTGTAGCAGTAGGCACTTTATAAATAACCACAGATCAAATTTGGCCATGGCAGTGAATTAGTACTGGCATTGCACAACTAAGAAAACTTCTGTTTTCTTAATTGAAAAAAAAAAACCAAAAACCTTGAAAACAAGTTATGAAACTTCCATATGAGACCACTTTGTTTCATATATATCGGGAGACTGGAAGAATTGTATTAGGAGAGCATTCTTCCAGCGCTTAAATTAAGTGCCATAATTATTACAAGATTATGTATGTTTACGTCTGTTTTCAAATGTATGTTTGAAGGGGGCTGTGTGTGGAAAAAAGCACCTAAAAGTCTATTTCCCACCCCCACTGAGTAGGTGAAAGTATAAAATACTTTTAATATTGGTTACACAAAACAATGTATTATGACTCCCACTAGCCAGCAAACATGTTGAGGCAGGCTTTTTGAACATACAGATCAGGCCAAAAGACTGTCCATGTGCTTAGATGCACAGCTAACTGCTCCAGTATTTTTTGCTTAAAAGTATATCATTGGACGACCTAAGACTAGTGAAAAACATGAAAGGCAGAAATGTCTTAAATTCCAGTGCTGAAGTTGCACCTTGTCACACAGTTGTAGAAAGCAAAGTCGTTATTGCTGGTGTTATTGAAATACTACACTTTCATGGGACTGTAGAAGAATGAATGTAACACACAAGCCGGACATAATTAACGATTTTCCATAGGATTTCAAGTTCAAAATCAGACAAGGATGTTATATTCAAGCTCTGCAATAACTGGAGCAAATGGGAGAAGGAAATGGGGTACATGTCTTTAGAAGACCCTTTCCAGTCTTGAAGGGGAATTTTTAAACCATTATTCATGTCTCTGTTGGCTGCTGACAAAAACCTCAAATAATGGAGAACCTGAAATCTGCTGGCCAGTTGCTTTTTGCAGCATTGTTAAACATTACAGGTCACTTTGATACCAGGTGGTAATGTTTGAGGAATCCAGACTTCAAAATATTCTTTTGAGCTTTTAAAGAAACTAATCTTCACTTAACTTGCTGGCCTAGGGAGAAGGGAAAGAAATCTCCTAGCACTGGGTCAGCCTATTGGACACACTATTGCTTATCATTCGGGGTTATGGACTGAAATAAAAAGGTGTTTAGGTGCTTATGTGTTGCAGGCTGTGCTTCCTTAGTTGCTGCTGTTAGCTCGTGGAAGAGGAGACCTGAGTTTATGGCACAGTGCACAAATAACTCTAGATTAAAATTCACATCCCTTGATGCTGCTTGGCGTTACTAATATCTCTTAGTCTTTTGGCAGGTGCTCAGGTGTGATCATTGTGCTGCTCTGCTGACTAGTGTTGAACAAGATGAACTGAAGCCCCGGTCACAGTGGTGAAAAATTTCTGGATGTTGAGCAATGTCACTGAGAACTAACTGGCTTGCAGATTTTGGTCTGGAAATGATGTGAGCAGTAAAGCCCAGAAGCACAGCCTGAGGCGCAAAGGCAGCTTTCTCCCTCTTGACTTATGATAAGCAGCATGTGATCTGTCCTTTCTTCAGCCACCCCATCTTGTCCACAGATTCCTCCTAGCTGTTCTCCCTGTGACAGATCAATGTTAAACACGCCCTGGCCGTGGATTAGTGACCGCCTTCGCCACCCTCATTCTGGCTTTCTCCTTTTATTCAGCCCCAAATGTCCTACTGAAATGATTTAAAAGATCCAGGGCAAATCCTAAGGTTTCCATGTTTTCCCATGTAAGGAACACAGAATGTTACACTGTCATGCATGATGAATTGTGGTTTCTTTTAGACAAGAGCCCTCCCTTGACAGTTCTGAACAAATTTGTATCTCCTTTGTGGGTGTTTCTCTTAATCAGAAACTAATCCTTGTTTACCCGCTAAGAGTCTGTATCAGGTTCGGCAACGTATGCAGAGATTTTGTAAACGTGACAATTCTTGATGTACATAAGAGGATTATTTTCTGCCTCTTCTGCTGCCAAGTTTGCTGCTTTAAAAGTGGTGCGCTTTGCTTTTACTAAATAATGTATCTGCTAATGTCTTCCCTATAGAGTTTGTCCAACTGAAACTGGCTGCAAGAACTGCTGTGGCAGCTTTTAAAACCACAAGGATGTGTGCCTGTGTAGAGATTGTTCTTATACAATTGCCTCTGTCTTTGTTCTCAATGTCTTTGATTAGAGTGCAGTTGCGTATTCTGGAGAACTCCTTGGAAGTTCTCCAGAACAGTTTTTCTATGTATCCTTTTATCCAGTTGGGTAAGCAGGTTTGTGAGTGCTTGCAGTTCTTATTTTATGTGCTTAGCTCTTAGTGTAATGGGCTTTATGAGTGGTAAAGCAATGCAGAAGACCATTCACAACTGTCGGGAGCTCCCAAGAGCCTTGTGTTGCCCACAGACAGCAATAGCAGAAAGCATTCAATTTCTTTTTCGTCTAAGAACACATTAACTGGATTACTGTTACAAGAATTGTGCAGTTATCCCATTCCTTGTAACTGAGCCTAAACCAAAAGAATGTTGTCACTCCATGTGACACAATGTGGAGATTATGATTGTAGACATAGGCTTTTTGCCAGGATGGACCTTGCTTTTATTTACAAAGTAAAGGAAATGCCAATACAGAACAGCACTGTGGGTGTACCTCTGATGCTCATTTAGTGTCAGAGGCGGCAGCTGAGAGCAAATAGCCACGTGTTTCAGATACGCTGTGAAAGGAAGCGGCGAGATGGCAGAGTTTCCCTGGAGTGTAGAGAAAGGGGATGAGAATTCTAATGAGAGACTGTACAGTCTCTGAATAGCGTTGATACTTTGCCTTGTGGTGCATTTGCCCTCATACCATGAGAGAAAAGTCAGCCTATCTTTCTTTTCCTCCTAGTAGTCTTAAACATTCAGAGATTTATACCCGCATAAATTTTTAAGACAGAAAAATCTTGATGAAGGTCACAGATCGTATTTTCTACATAAATGTTATTTTTCTTTTTATTTTTTTTTGACATCAAGCCTTGATCCAAAAATGTCATGTGATGCAAGAATAAGCAAAGTCTGTTTTTTAGCAGTTTAAAAAAAACCCCAAACCTGAAAAAAACCCAACCACGCAATTTAAATAATATATAAAATTGTCTTAACATAGGCTTTTAACAGGCAACTGTTTAATCTAGCAGCAACAATCCTGCTTCTAAAGATGGACTGCACCTCTTCTCTTGGTTAAGCAGCCTTCTTGCCTTCTCCTGGTTAAGAGAGTGACATTTGTAGGCATTTGCCTCCTCAGAACTGTGTATTGGTCTGCTAGCTCTTGATCTGTTTCTAGTTCTTTGTATCTTATGCCTGTGTAGACACCAGAATGAGAAAGCTGGCTGTGTCCTGAAGCACTCCTATAGAATACCACTTTCAATCACTACCTGTATGTCCTTATCTCTGTTACGTGTCCTGCTGTGATGCTGAAACTCATGCTAAGCTGTTTCTGTGTCCTTACTTCTAAAACTTTTCAATATGGCCATACACTAATATGACCATTCTCCTGTTGCATGTGACCCTTGTTCTTTGTTCCTAAGTATTGCTGTAGTCCTAGCAGTTGCAGTGTTCTATATTTTGTTCAACTTACCATTACCCAGAAGACTGGTCTGATTAAGCGATGCATTTCTATCACTCCTATAGAGTTAATCTGCCCTTTTTATATGCAAACCTGTCAGCTCTGATTTTATAGCTCCTCTTAAATCACTGTTAAAGGTAATGACTATTTTGGATGTGAGAGGGGGTCCCCTCAAGATTGCATTACTAGTTGTATTTGTGACAAGGATACTGTTGGTTAACTTAAAACCTAATTAGTTTTAATCAGTAAACTACTAACTTCAATGTATTACAGAGCATCAGCATGGAATGTATTGCTGCTGCTGTATTTGAATACCTTGTAGGAGTGTAGGGTAAATGTATTACAGAACTGCAAACTTGGAAAGGCAAGACCATTTTATACATAGTCAAATTGACTTGCTAATTATATAACACTTTTCTTGATTTGTTAATGATTAGGTCCTCTATCTGCCTTTATGGGGGCAGAGAGGAGTTTGCATCTGTATTACCAGATTACTTAACCTGACTTGAATCATAAAACAAAGACAGATGCAAGACTGTTTCTTATTCTGCAGACGTAAGCCTACAGAACAACTAGATTTTTACTTGTTCTTATATAATTAGTGTTGATCAGTCTTAGTAATGGAGTTTACATCCAATACTCTTGCTTATCCCTTTATTTTCTTCTCTTTTTCTGATTGCAAGTTTAATTCTTTTCTGGGAATGTCCCCCAGCCCTAATGCATGCAGTGGTATGTAAGGTGACTAGAAGTTAACTTGGTGCTATGTAAGGTCTTCTGATCCCCCGTAGTAAAAATATATATAGCTGATGTATTCATTGTTTTCTTCAATAATCAGTGGGAATAAACGAAGTGAGAACTCCCATCATGAATGTGTAATCCTGTTTGATTATTTTTTTTTAACTGTAATTTTAAGAGCATCAAAAAGCAGTACCGCAAGCTTACCATGTTTACAAATGTTTCTTGGGCAGCACACAGCACTATTCTGATGCATTCTCCTACCTCCTCAACAGGTACCCCAGAAGACTGCTTTGTCTTGGGACTTGAGGCAGAATTTGCTGGTCTTGCAGTCTCTCTTCGTAATACTGAATTCTTCTAGGCAGAAGAAAAAAATGGCTTGTTCAGAGTGGTGGTTTTTTTCCTGAATATATAATGTCTTTTTTTCTCTTTTATTTTTCCCCTCTCCCCCAATTAACTGGCCCTTAATTCTGGGCTGCTTTGGGTTACTTACAGTTCTTTTAGTTCTTTTAGTGGCTTTCTGTGATGGTGTGACAGCATCAGTGGACAAGGGAAAACCAATGGACATCATCTATCTGGACTTCTGCAAAGCCTTTGACACGGTCCCCCACAACATCCTTCTCTCTAAATTGGAGAGCTATGGATTTGATGGGTGGACTGTTCGGTGGATAAGGAACTGGCTGGATGGTCGCGTCCAGAGGGTAGTGGTCAATGGCTCAATGTCCGGATGGAGACCAGTGACGAGTGGTGTCCCTCAGGGGTCCCTACTGGGACCGGTGCTGTTTAATGTTTTCATCAATGACTTAGCGAGATCGAGTGCACCCTCAGCAAGTTTGCGGATGACACCAAACTGAGTGGTGCGGTTGACACACCAGAAGGAAGGGATGTCATCCAGAGAGACCTGGACAGGCTGGAGAGGTGGGCCTGTGTGAACCTCATGAAGTTCAACAAGGCCAAGTGCAAGGTCTTGCACCTGGGTCGGGGTAACCCCCAGTATCAGTACAGGCTGGGGGAAGAAAGGATCGAGAGCAGCCCTGCCGAGAGG